GACATTGAACCATTGACCACAACTCTTTTGTGCATGAGTATGTGCGGTCTCCCATAGCATATTCCTTGTTTTTCCACACTCTAAACTCCATTATTAAGAAATCTTCCGTTCTTCGGTATTGTTATCTCTTGTCAGTATATAAGCCGAACAACTAATTCAGCATCAAGTGTGACTTTCAATAGAGTCTAACAGTGGTTGTGGTGAGAGAAGGCATCTGAAAAGGCAACAATTTTGTTCAACCGAAGTTTTAAGCCTTTTTTGTTTGTTTGTTTTTTCTTTTGAACAAAGGATCATGAATTCATCTGCATCTTCCTTAGTATTTATGAGGTCATAAGAGGTAGAGTCTGTGTATTGTATTACTTTCAAGAGAAAGGTTTTCTGATCGGTGCTTGAACTAAAAGAGGCTATGTAGTTTTTATTTTGTTTTTAATAAAAAGAGGCTTTACTACTTATACCACTCTTCTTTCAAGAGCAGAATTAGCATCCTACTGAGGCAGACACTGCTGCACATTTTTCTTTGTTTTAACATCAGTCATGGATCTGATTTGGCCTGCACTGCTGTGTACAATGCAAAAGAGGAAATTAAAAAAATTCAAACTAGAAAAACCTCACTGGAGCTAAAAAGCAGTGAGCATAGAAGGTAAAAATTCCTGGTGACTAAATATACGGCAATGTGAATATGTTAAAATATAGCACAGTATGTACCATTCTTAGAAAAACGATTTCTTTTTGATTAAAAAAATACAATTAGATCTATCTTGAATGTTCTGGCTGTCATTTTCTTTAGCCAGTACAAACCTGCCTTTCTGGTTTAGGAAGCCAGAGTACTAAAATGTAAAGCAAGATGTTATTACTCATTTAAACAATTCTTTGTTCTCTCTTGAAAGCAAGAATTCATGATGTTTTCAAATATTCTTGGGTTTACCTCTAAGAATGCAAGCCTCTAGCAAGTCTGAGCTTAATGCAAGGCAGATTATGTAATTTTTGCAGTGATACATGATGTGAATGTAATCCTGTTAACATCTTTGATAGTTTTAGTTGCAGTTTGCTGAATTTTGCTGTAATTTTATCAGGTGAAATAAGATAGCTTTTCTTAGCAAATTTCTTCAAATGCAGTAAACATAGATCAGAACTGAGAAGTAGCCACTTAGGGAATGATTCATCAGCACAACTGCTTTCTTAACTCCATTTGAAGGGCCATTTTGCCAGTGTGAAACCCTGAAGTCATGTGGCTTTAAAATGAGAACTTTAATTTAAAATGAGGTTGCAGTAGTTTCAGCAAGGGTCAGTGTTTTACCTGAAGAGCGTTTCTCAGTCCTGGGAAAAGTGGAGGTTAAGGAAGGTGAGGTTAGGGGAGTGTGGGTATACCTGCTGGTAAAAAGCCTGTTACCATTTACGCATTGTTACCATTTATCTCTGAAAGGAAAGAAGGGAGTCTTTAATTTCAGCCAAACCGGGTATGAAATGTGTGTGTTTCTTGGGGATAGCACTAGTTTTAGCCTTCATGGGAGGAAAGCTCACCCAAGGCTTTCTGTGTAGAGCCCACTGCAGTCCTCAGCTGACTGAAGATGACTGACAACTGAGGAGGCTAGAGAAATCCTAAACTGGGACAGTTATGCAGGTTAAACTCCTTTAGAACTTGAGCTCCTTTCTTAAGTTAGTATCTTTGATTACTTCCAGGAGTGTGCATTAGTGTTGAAAGATGCCTGAATTTAAAATTGACAGCTTCATCTTTGCCACTGTTTCTTAGTTATGGTAAAGCTAAACTGATGCTATCAGTAGCATTACTGTTCAGTCAAAGAGTAGAAAGCTCACTGAAAGCAAACAGATTTGAGCTTCAAGATCACAGAAGCTCAGCATCCCTTTGGTGGAGACCAGTCCATGTACCCTGTAGGCCATGGTGCAGGCAACCCCGTTTATGCCTTTTGCAAGGGTTTACTAACCTCATTTTAGCTAGCCGTGTCAAAACCATGGGCCTCTGAGCAGCTGGTGGTGGAGCTCCTCCTGTCTGAACTAATCTTCTAACGTTTAGTACCCATTTTAAACTGGTGCCATCATTTGTCTGTGGGGGTTGTTAGTAGTCAGGGCTGCTTGTTTATTTTGATCTTTTCTTGTGTCTGTTTCTACAGATGCCTGTCCTTAGGTTCCTAAGACATTGTTATACTGTTTAAATGATGATAGAAATGGTTCCAATGCTGAAGGTAATTTGCCGTATGACATAACTGACATATCATGACATTACTCTGTGCTTTTTAGTGGGACATGTCTTCTGCTTCTTTGAATAACAACTGATTTAAAGATAAAACGAGGCAAGACAATTACAGATTCAGTCTTGAATCTTTGCTGTCTAATAATTAAATAATTTAATGTGGGTTTTTTATGGTACGGTTTGTTTTTGTTTTGTTTCAGTGTTTTTGCTATAGTGCTCCTGATAGTCACTTTGTAGCTAAGGTGGGCTGATTCTTGTCCCATGTGTTCATACAACCTAAGCTCATTTTCTTGTTGAGGAATCTGATGATAACATCACTGTTGATAAAATCACTGTATCGCTCTGCTTTATCCAGAATGCTAAAATGAGATATTGTGAATTGCAGCTCACATTAATCATGTTTTTCCCAAAATGATTTTCTGTTTTGTGGCTGATCATTAAGTCTCACTGTACATGCTGAGGGAATATGTAGCTACAGTTGCTGAGCGTAAACAATCTGTATGGTGGCTTTAGACTGTTGCATGCCAAGAATGTTTCAAGAACATCTCCTGATTTAAGCAAACATACAGTAAATCTGGTGAATAGTATGGGTACATAATTCCCAGTTTACCGGGGATATTTACCTTGTCATGGCTAGCATAGAGTTTGAGTGGCCATCCAAAATTGTTGTATTGGCCCTGCCCATGTGACGGGGTACAAATCCTGACCAAATGAATGCACCAGCTGAAAAAAACTGAATGCATCTTCACTGTTGTTATGTGATTGATACTTCAACAGCAAAGCTGCATTGGGTGTTTTTTTAAAAATCAGTATTATTTGACATTTTAATTTTGAAATTACCTGTTTGTAAGCTAAAAAGTGAAGTAGCACAAACAATATCCCACAGCTTCCTCTTCCAGCATCTTTTCTCTCCATTGATTTTACTGCAGTCTAGCAGTTTATACAATGTGAAGCAGTTAACCAGAAGCTAGTTATGCCTTATGTCCATATTTTCTTGTAGAATTTAGAACCGTAATAGTCAAAGGTTCTAACTGGTTCTGAGTGGGGATCACTCTCTAATTTTCTCAGCCTTCCCAGTCCATGTGCTGTTGGCTACCAGGCGAACTGACAAGTCAGAGGCATTCAGGTGGAAGTGAGCTTTTTATAATACAGTCTCAAAAGTACAATCTTGCTTTCAGTGTTGTCCCCAGCGTTGTGTGCAAATACTAGTTTAAACACTTAATGAATACTGTTCAAGAAATCAACAGGATTATTTCAATTCAGTGTGTTGGATTGCTCTCACTTCTACTATTAAAATACTTTAAAAGAAAACAAATAAAACCTAACCTTCTTTACAAAGGGTAGTAGCAGAGCAGCTAATGATGCATAATTTAGATCCGAAGGGCAAAGTTTTGCTTCCTGATCTTCACTGTCAGAATTTGAGTGACAGGCCCATACTGGAAGGACGAGGATGATTTTAGAATTAAAATATATCATGGGAATTAGAATTTTGATTAGAGAACAGACCTTTTCTGGAAAAATGCTAGGTTCACCAACATTGCACTTTTGCAAGTACACTTGAGCTTTTTTTGTTTTATTTTCTGTTTTGTAACTGTTGACCTGCCAGCTACCTAATAGTATTTACAGAATGATTGATTAAACATGTGAGAGGGCAAAATATTTTCTTCTGTACAGCTGAAGTTTTTGTTAAAGGCACTGGGAACTGCCTCCTGTTTTTTTTCAGACAAAGCTAATAGAATGCATGAATGCTACTGCATATAGCTGACAAAGGCAGAGCATCTTTGTGAAAAGCCTCTGTAAATTCTTTCCCACAGAAATCAACAAAAGGGTCAGTTGTCCTGGGCTACGTATTTCGTCACTTAAACCTAGTGGAGATAGATTACTTTGGACTGCGCTACTGTGACCGAAGTCATCAAACGGTGAGCAAAAGATGCGGCAGACTGGATTTCCATATGTAAAATACACCCTGTTGTGCTGTTTGCTTGTAAGCATTAGATTGTCATACTTTCACTAACTTTCACTGTTTCCTGGCTTAGGTTTCCGGTAATAATTTCTTTGTGTTTGTTTGCAATAAAGTCTTGGAATAACTATTAATAGCTTAGATAGAACTGAATCAAATGCTAAATGGTGTTGAAAAGTAAATGAACAAAGCGTAAATAGTACAAAATTATGATACGAAAGTAGGATTAATAATTTTACCCTTTTAATACTGTGTTGTGAAGGCAGTGCTTGGTGCACTGTGCTGTCTGGCCTTGCTTGGCCTTGAGGTGTCTGGGGAGCAATGTCCCTAAGCATGTCACAGGCTGTTTTGCTTGGACCAAAGGCCAAATGCCTGTTGCAAAGTGTATTGTATTGTTGATGTGGTGGCTGCACTGGTAAAGCCCCAGGAGTCAGGGTGTTGGCAATGACATTTTCACTCTGCCTTAACCATCTCTGTGTCCTTGAGCCCATGCTCTCTTGAGTATTCCTTACAGGGACTCCCCAGATGTCTGGAAGCTTTTTCCACCAGGACATTACATCCTAAATAGGCAAGAAAATCAAAATTCGGCTGATTCAGCCAAAGCAGGCAGTTGCTTGGGGCAGCACTGTCTGGAGTACCCCCTCTCCTCTTCCCCCCAAATGGCTTGTGCAGAGCCTTCAGTCAGAGGTGAGGAGCAAGGGATGCTCAGCAGGTGGGACCAGCACCATATTCACTGGATGGTCTTCACATTGCTGTAGTTTAATAAAGGGAATAATGCCAGGCCTACAGTTAAATTAACTCAAGCAGTTATGCTTTTAAAGTCACTGTTCTGTTCTGAGAGTACTGCGCAAGACCCTGACCTCAAAAGATGTCATGTTTCATCTGAAAATAATAATGTCATTGAATTGGTTAAATATTTGACCCTTTCTTTTGTTTAGAGAATTTGAACATGCAGACACTGAAGTCAGAACAGTGTTAGCAGAAAAAGATTAATCACTGCTGAGAGCTACATACTGCTCTACGCAGTATATCTGTATTTCTGTGCCGTGGTCTAGATATTTATGCATTCAGATCCTTGATAAGCTTCTAACCAAGTTTCATTCCATGGAGGTGAAAGTCAGATTCAGCTGTGAATGAAAGGTAGGCTGTTAAAAACATAATTTTGATTTCTTGAGGAAATTGAGGTATAAATGAAGAACAGGTGGGTGTTTTCTTCTCTCAAATGTATTTACCTTTTTCCTGTAGAGGCAAATAATGGCTATTACTTACTACTAATAGAAATGGCTATTGCTGTGAACATTTCCAGAGGCATGCACACTATGTATTTAACGGTGTATATGGCATTATGAAAAGAGAAAATTGTATCTGTTCCATAAAAGACTTTAACACATAAAGCCACATTTTTGGAGGCATCCTGCTAACAGATTAGATGATTCAGTTGTGTGATACTGTTGTGTTTTGTATTGTGGTAGTGTGCATGAGCTGTAGGGCATGACACTATTAACTGAATGATGAATAAAGCAAGGTGGACAAAACTATGCATTTTAAAGAACGCAACCCAGTCACAAAGAAACATTTATTTTTATATTTTTTTTTTATTAAGAGTTTGAAAGAACTTGTCTAATTGTTTTCCCCATTACTTTTGCATGCCTCAGCACTTTCAGGAAGTCTTTTAAGAGCTGTGTTGGTGTGCTACCTCTTACGTGGGTGGTATCATAATTATTTTAGTAGTACTAGTAAGGCTCTAATGGCTGTAATCAGTGAACAAGATTGCACTGTGCTATATATGAATGCATAACATCAAAATAGTCTCTTTCTGAACAACCAACAAACTAATTAGCAGGTGAAAGAGAATAGCTGGATTCAGCAAACAGATTGACAGTGCTGGATGGCACTGGGAAGACCAGAAGGATAAAGCATAAATTGGATGATGACGTGTCTAAGGCAGTAGTTTGGTCATATTAGACAAATTTCACTTTACTGATGTTTCAGGTTCACCCAAACTCTCCATGGTCAAAGGACATTATTTAATTTGCAAAATCAAGCTCTGTAAGATTACAGGTTGCCAGAAGCTATATCTATCTTACGCTCTGAACAAGACAGGACTCCTAAGGAAAACCGATGAGTATCTTGCAATAATTAATTGAGACATAGCATTTAATCATTAATTACAAATCTTGTATTATAAAACTACACCTGAATAAACAGATGGGTTGAACTAATGCTGTATGTTGTCAGTAGTGACAAAGCACGTCTGTGTGCTTTGTTTGACAAACTACATGGTGCTTTTTAATGTAGTGCATGAGTACCTTTTTTGGTGGAGATACTTCAAAAGGAAGATCAGTTTCCTTTGACTGCCACTGAACCTCTCACTGTCCTTCATCAGCCCTTCACCTGAGCCTTTTGTGTTGCTGCAGTTTCTGTTGACAATCACGTTAGGCTAAGCTGAGACCAAGTACAGTCCTTATGCTTCTTAATGTGGATGGTCAGCTGGGTCCTGATTGACAGGACATTTTTGTCTTCTGCCTGATCTGCCAGAAATGTGGGACATTATGCTCCATTTGGTATTTTCAGGCAGGACATGATCATGAGAATCTCTGTTGCAAAAGCTAAAGGTGTTTTAGGAAACTCTACTCCGTACTGTAGTCTCTCATCACTTTAGTATTTGGGGAAAACAGTGGCCGAATGGTGTACCTCTCCTTTAGTGGAGGAAGGCCCAAATACTGGGTAAGCCACTGCTGGGAGGGCGGTGCAGGTCCCCTGCCCCTCTCTCTTCCTACAGTGCTGCAGCTCCCAGGTGCTCCCCACACAGTCCCTGTGGTACTGTGCTGCCTTTGTGGTGTCTCCAGTGTGCCTTAGGATAGTTGTGCTGATTACTGTTGTGGCAAGAGGCCAGTATTTTCCTGAGGCACACAAAAGAGAGAATGGAAATTGCAATATTCAGGAACAGCTGAGCAGAATTTGATGAAGGAAAGGGTGCTTTTGAAGCCCAAAGGCATTCCCTTGTCAAATCACAAAAGTGTGCTGACAAGAGTCATGCTATTAGAACTTCTCTTACAAGAAAGATTTTTAAACTCCCTTATTGCAGAAAACCAGACAACCAAAAGCGTTTTAAAGGTCTGTTGATAATACTTCTTTTTTTTTTTTTCCTAGTTCCGGAAACCTGGCTGTACCTTACTATCTCACATTGGTCAGGTTGTCCTCTCATCATCCCTCATACTAAACCTGCTTAACCTAACTGCAGGACGCATGTCAGCATTGTGCAGCAGGCTGTGGTGCATATATGCTTCTCTTACCTGATATAATGCTAGTCTGGGTTTTGAAGGGAGAAATGCAAACACAGAAAGCTGTATCACCATGTTAATTTGGTATAGCAGCCAAGCTCCTTTCCCCAGCCTGTTAGTTCTGGTGCAGTGCTGTGTGAACATGTGTGCACTGTGCTGAAATCTGGAGCTAACATGAGATGTGCAGCACTCTGTATCTGTACCGTGTATCTGCTCTGTAGTGTAGATGTGTGTTTTTATTTCTCTGCTGCAATGAAGTCCTGTTTTGAGCCTACAGACCTGAGAGCACAGTAGGTGGAGGTAGCTGATGGCAATTTATTCTGCAGCTGTGTAGCCCAGAGGGCACGTCTCAGTGCCTTGTGAAACTGAACTTTCTGCTGGGAGTTGCTGTGCTGTAGTGGTAGATCATATCAGCTGTGACAAAGCTGAGCAAAGAAGGCTGTGCTATGAATTGCATATCCCTGCTGTACAAACTCAGAAAGTTGTACAGATCAGAAAGTTGTTTCTTGATCCATCCTGTGTAACTGAGAAGGTAACTATAGCATACTCATATTGCTAGGTCGCTGTACCAAATTGGATAGGGTTACAGATAGAACAGGCTGTAACTTAACTATAGAAAGAAGGGCATGATTTCAACAAAGGTTTGTATACAATCAAAAAAGTCTGTTCTGTAGGGAATTACTGTCATATAATGTAGTGTATATCTTCATCTCAGTTTCTTAGAAAAGCAGATGAAGTGTACTTAGCTTGTATTTTGGTTTTATATGGATTTTTGGTTTTGTATGAATTTGACCTTTGCCCACAAGCATGATATACTAAATTATCTAGAAAGAAAAAGACTTGTGCTTGTTGATAGAGATGGCATAGCCAGTGGAAAAAAAATGCAGACTGATAATATTGATTAGAAGCTAGAAATTTTAGAAGATTGCTAATGGATTAAAACACCAAGACAAAGCTGATGGTCAGATACACTAAAGGCAGTAAGAGTAAGGGTTTAGTGCATAGCAGGATCAACAGGATACTCACACTGGTGATCTAATACTAAATATAATCAATATAACTTCATACTCTAATAAAGGCAGAAGTATTAAATACATATTTGGATACAGGAATTGCCTGATAATTAATGTGTTTCGTATAAGGATGTTTTGAGCTTAGGTTTAGATTATTTGCACTAAACATTTGCATTAAAAATGACGAAGTAATTCCAATTGATAGTGTTGGTTTAAATTACATAAAAACCTTGAAAATTTCCGATTATAATTGAAAAATACTATATTTTCTCTTGAAAGTTGGGTTTTTTCCTGTTGCAGATGTGAACAGAAATTGGCATGTGTGGCATGATGGGTACAGCTTTGTAAGAATGTAATTAAGACAGCCCAGGATTTAGTTTGAAGCTGATAAGCTTTTCTCCACAAGATACTTCATTGATTGATATCACAGCAAACATTTCAACCTACTTAATATTTTGTTTCAAACAGGTTCATGGAATTTGACCGAGGTTTAACCCTATACAGATACAAGGAATGAAAATTCCAGATTTGCAGAAAAATGCTTGCAGTCATTTAAAAGGGTTAAATATGAAATACTGCATGGCACTTGGGTGCATACTGCTTACGCATCTGGTTCATATGGGAGCCATATTTGTGAAAGTGCGAAGGACAGTACAGCCCATGTTAGATATTCTTAGATACTCTATACTTTAAAATATTTCTTTTTAGAGATGATTTCTACCAAAAAATTAGATGGAATTATTTTCTTTAATAACATTGTTCATTTATAGTCAATTTTAGTAAATAAAATATTACTGAATTAAACTAATGCTCTATGGTGTTTGTAAATAACAATTAGTAAAAGAGTAACCATCACCATAGTAATTGGATAGTTGCATTGATTAGGACTATTTAGAAACAATTTTTTTCCCCTGTTTCATCTGTAAATGCTAAATTCCCCTTTCACACTCACAAAATTTATCCCCTGCAGTTGGATGGGTATATTCTGGGCCCTTTGCCTCTTTGCAGCATCTTTGGCTTACAAATAAAATGTTAGAAATCGCCCTCTCCTCCCCCCGCTCCTTGCATTTTTCAGGAAAATTTTGGCAGCCTTTGAAATAATAAATGGTTACAGAGTGATTTTAAGCATGGGTTTGTGGCATTGCCCCAACACTAAATACTTACTGGAGAAAAAATGAGAAGGCAGACGAGAGTCTTTCCTCTTCCTCACCACTCTCTGTCCCAGCCTATTGTGATTTGGAGTTCTAATGGGAGCTTTGAACAAGTGTGATGAATTTTTCTTTCCTTTCCACCTTCTGTTGAGGTTAAGAGGGTTTATATTTTAACAGTTATTGGATGTATTTGATACAAGTATGTACTGGATATTTTTTTCCTTCAAAATTTAGGAAATTTTCTACAGAAACATTCCAGGATTTGAAATTGCAATGGTCAAGGACAAGGCATACAGACGTTTCTATTGTAGGTAGATCAGCAGCTAATGGAAATAGTTTGTTTTCACGTTTTGTCAAAATAATACTTGTTTACAACCACTTGTGAAATAAGTTGCTTGAGATTTTCCACTCAAATGCTTTGTAGTGTTTTCCCCTCCCTTCTTTGTTACTTGTTCTATTAGTGATTTTTTTATTTTATTTTTTTAGTCCAAAGGAGTTTTGTGAATAGGAGGAGGAGATTTTTTGATTAATCATTTAGTGTTTATTCTCTATAGCGTGAATTCAGGGCTGCAGGTAAGAAGTTTCTTTGTTCATTGGTCATGTAGTTCCTCAGTTAAAAAGTGGGTACTAAGGGAGTAGATTCAATGTGCCTTAATTTGCTCTTCCTAGAAGCTGTGTTCTGCAGCCTTTTTCCTTCCAGTTTCTAAAGAGTGGTGCCAATCTCAGGTGATTGTATTGAAGCTGTGTATGAAAAAAGAGGACTGAAGAAAAAGAAGGCAAGAATGGTCTTCATAGCTGCCTCTGCACTTTCTTCCAAATCTGAATCATAGAATGTCAAGTTAAGGAAGAAAGAAGTAGCTGGAGGGAATACAGAGGCGGGCTGCTGGTGACCGGTGTACCCATAATGCAAAGTACACAGCTGGTCTGTGGTTATCAGTAATACCAGGGTAACTTCAAATAGAAGTCTGGTAGAGGCAGAGCAATCGGTGAGAAAGAGTACTGCAGATTGTCTGTTGATCACACGGTCTGGGAAGCCATATAATAATTCATCCCTCTGCAGGTATAAAGTGTACCTCAGTCATCTCTGACGTATTTGTTGAACTAGCCTTGTAAACTGTATGGTGGAAGAGTCTGTGCCCTCCCTACTTTAGTGCCAATTTCCAGTTGTCCTCTCTCCCTGCCACTTGAAACTGTTTCTGAAAATGGAAATTAATATTTCTTTCCTTCTAGTTAAGCCAATTTCTTCATATTTGGTGGACATGAAGAAAAATTGATACTGTGTTCTTACAGCAGCTTCTCATGTGTTGCAGTAGTACTGTTATGCCTATTCCTCCGCCTACAGTCTTTTATTTTTCATAATATAAGTGAAGCCCCTTCATTTTCCTTGTAGATCCTGCTTTATAGACTTCGTTGTTGTTATTTAGAATTACCCTGTTTAAGTTAATCTCTCAAGAAGAAAATAGCAAGGTTGCACATCCATATACCAGCTCTGGCAGATCAGGCAGACACCAAGGGGTATTTAGTATGATACTTCTGTAGAACCAGCTTGTTATGAGTCTGAGATATGGTGGCTTTTACCAAACAGGTTTCCTTTAAGGATGACCCCTACCCCCAGAGAAAATACGCAATGTTAGACTTGTCCAGTGTTTCTCTTATTAGAAACTGGCACAAGCTTGTCATTAGCAAACTGAAGTGTGCTAATAAATATCAATATATGAATAAATATAGAATTGCAGTTGTTCTATATTGATTTTCAATGTTAAGTGACTAATTGCTATCATTATCTGTCTTACAGTACTGGCTAGATCCTGCAAAGAGCCTTGCTGAACATAAAGAATTGATAAACAGTATGTATCCAGTTTGAACGTAAAGAATATATCTGAAGATCAGAGGCAGTTTTCCATATGTACAGCTGTGCAACGTTTATATTCTAGTCACAACAGATTGATAGTTCTTGAACAAGTTTATTACTGCAGTTTACAGCTGTATCAAAATTTCACACATAGATTGAACATACCATGCTTTTCCAGTAATTTGTGTGATTATTGTCCAAAGACTTTCTTAGAGTTATTATTTTTAGAATAATAAATGGTGTTATTCTTAACTTGTATAATTAATTTTATAGTAGCTGTGATACCTCTATTGTACTGTACCATACCAAAACCGATTTAGATTCCTTTCTGCTTCTGAAAGTAGAAGTAGTGCCTCTTACTAATAATAGTGTCTGCTGTTACTGTCACTCTTCAGATATCACTCTTCAGATATCACAGATGCAAGATCTGTTATTTATTATAATTAAAGAACATGATAAGAGTATATTAAGAATTTGGAGACCTTCTATAAACAGATACAAGTGGAGCATGTATGGAATAAATGTAGCTATAACAATTTCAGTATTGAGTTAACTGAATCTTTTGGGAGAATAATATTTTTTGGAAGTTAATTAGAAAAGCTTTTTCCAATATTTCTTAATTGAAGTGGCACATAATTAAAGTTGCTTCATAAGATATTTGAAAATTTGGAAGGCATTAGTGTTCAGTATTACTAGTTATGACAGGGAATCACATTTCATGTACAGTAAAATTTTTTGAAATAGTTTCAGTGAAAAAAGTACCTAAAGTCAAAATCAAGCTGTAAAAAAAAAAAAACCGAAACCAAAAACTTGGAGAAATTGCAAGTTAGCAATGAAATCCAAAGTTAAATCTTCAAAATAAACAAAAACTCCAAGTAGTCAGACAAGCTGTAAAATCGAAAATACGTAATGGATTTGCGATGTGGGTGTAATATTTTTTCTGAAATTTTCAGGTGTTGTAAGATAGGCTTCTTAGCTCTTTTGTGGTCAACTAGTATCAATTAATAAACGTTAATAGTTCATAACAACTGACTTTTGCACCAAATACTTTTTCCCTCAGCTGGACCACCATACACCCTGTATTTTGGCATTAAATTCTATGCAGAGGATCCGTGTAAACTTAAAGAAGAAATTACAAGGTACAGTATTCCATAAGAATGGAATTTGTATTTTGTTTATTTCAGGGCAGTAATCTGTTCCAGCCAGGTGCGTGTTTTTGTGGTGTTTCTGGCTTGGTTTTCATTCCACTTGAATGTCTGAATGTTTTTGCTTGAAGATGTAGGAAGAGAATTGTGACTAGCCTCACAGTGGTCAGTATGGACAACCATTTGGAAATCCAAGATGAAAAGGTGCCCTCTGGTGCATCAAAACCTGAAGAGAGTTGATGTGCATTTGTGTTTTGTTGTGTGGGTTGTTTTTGTCTATTTTTTAAGTAATGCATTGTCATGTCTGCATTTCTTGGTGCTTTAATTGCATTTAGAGTTTACTTGGATATAAAATATGGATGCAGGGAATTCGGTTCCTTATTGGTTATAGCTTAAATTCTGGAACTGTTTTTCAAGAGGGTTTCTTTCGGTCTTTCTAAAAATACGTGAAGGAAATTGGAGAATTGCATGCTTTTGATGCTTTTAGCTAAGCTTGGCCTTTACAAAATATGCGAATACACATGCTAACACATGCACAACACGCATACAAGCACATACACACACATGCTTGCCTGAACTCTCACACTCAGGGTTTTCTGTTCGGTTTATTTATGGAAGGTCGTAGACACTTAGTTTTAGGTTCTGAAGGAAATTTGAGGATTTGAATAGGTAGGCGGGCAAAATCAGTGCACTGGCTTGCATTAATAAATGACAAAATACTTCTTTTGATGTCACATAAGAATTCATTAGGATGCATACAGGATTTTAAATTTTCCTTAATCAAAGGTGGCAGTTACAGAACAGGCAGAATATTTTTCTTGTACCAGAGTAAGAAAATTATTTTGTTTCTATACTGGTACAACAGGAATGGAAGTCTCCAATATAACAAGATTGAGGCTTGCATGGTAAAAGTAGTAAACACTGATTTTGCAGGTAAAAGAGTGTAAACTGGCCGCAATGTGAGCCCCTGTACCAAGAAAGTTTGATGTAGTTTTCCTATACTTTTTTAGAAGCACTTTCTGCCCTGCTCACAGGGTAGGATGGATGGCCCTGGGGAGGGAGCTTTTGACACTGAACCTGTTGTGATTGCTAGCCAGGAGGATTTTTGTCTGGGAAATGACAGGGGCTAAGTTTTCAAAAACTGTTTCTCTTTGCGTTGTGATCAGGTCAGTCAGTGATTTGCACTGCTGATTAGGTGTGTGACTCCAGCTGAGAAGCATTTTAGTATAATTACTAAGCCTCTGTTGATGTCTTCACAGTATTTGGTTATGCAGGATTTGCACCTTAGAAGGCACAGAGGGAAGGCATAAGAAAGTGCTACGCTTTTGTGGACAGTCTTCATCAAAACATGTTGAATAATCAATTGCCCTCAACATTTCTGAGCATTTATTCCTGTAGACCCCTGAATCTTGGTACGAAGGGGGTTTTTTGTTTGATTTTTTTTTTTTTGGTGGTTTTGTATGTTTGTTTGTTTTTGTTTTGGGGTTTTTTATCCCAGAAATAAAAAAAGAAAGCTCTTCTTGCTTAGGAGTGATTAAAGGCCCTACTTTTCTTTATAATAATTATTTTCTGCCAAAGTGTGTAATTCTAATGATCAAAAAGTGTTAACTGTTTTGTGCTAACCAGTATGTTTCTTTGGAGCATGTGTTTGTCATTTTAATGGATATGAGAGCAGACGCTCCTGTTAATAGATACTGGTGATCTGTGGCATTACATGATTACTATTCGCAGATAATGAAAATGTGTCAAATTTGTAATTGCTTTACAGCAAAATCTGTCCAGCTTGTAGGCAAAAGCTAATGCAGCGGTGTTTATTGTATGTGGTTGCTAGAGCAAACTAGTGCTTAGCCACTATCATATATACATGACAAACTTGACCGTGCACAAGGTGAGAGTGCTTCAGCTATAAGTTCGGACAAAAAGTGGACAAAAAGTCTTGTTGTCCTTAGTGGCAAAAGGGAGAGGAGCTTAGTGGCTTCATTGGGAATTCAAGTTGTTTACTTCAGAGGAGTCACTTACACATTTAGCAGTTGCCTCCGATTTATTTTTTTTTTTTTTTTTTTTGCAGGTAGGGAGTGTTTTTTGCAGTTTTCTATCCTGCTTTATTTTGAGACTATGCTATGAGAATATAGAATTATAGATGTTATGGAGAAAATATTTGTAGTATTGTCTGGTATGAAGTTCTACAGAAGCACTGTGGAGATGGAGGAGTGCTGACGGAAAGATGGGTGCATATCAGAAATGCATTTCATGTTAAAAAGAAGATGCTGTGTACTCCACAGTAGATGTAAAATAATTTTTGTCATTATCACCATTCATACAGAGGAGTTTTGTCTAGATAGGACTGGCAAACATAAGCTAGAAGCACTGCTGAGGTATTGCTTAGAGTGAAGAAACACTGAGTGTATGTGCTTTGTGTTCCCTCATGATATTCCCAGAAAATACTTACACAGTGCCCTGGTCCTTTAAGGCAGAGAGTATTAGCCATTTTTTAAAGGATGGACATTTCTCCTGTAATACGTGTCACAGCAAAAATTCTGGGGGATCATTAACCAGAAAGACACTTACCCTTTTTCAGATGCTCATCTGGGCTGGTAAAATCTAGTACATTTGATTGGATCTTAAGTGATTTGTGATCAGCTGTCATGCAATCTGCAGTTTGCGAACTTCCCTGCAATCAGCGTAAATGCACTTTGAACTTACAGATCATTCCAAGGTGCTTCATAAGTAACTTGTACTAACACAGAATAAATTATTTTCAGTGTAGCTGAATGGCTTTATGTAGATAATGTTGAATTAGTGAAAAATGAGAAGACTATATGCTTGTATGGATGACCATTTTTTCTTTAAAAAGTTAGCTTCTCAGTATTGTTACCTGCTGTAGGAGCTTGGTACAAGAAATTCGCTTAGGCTGACATGAAATCCTGCAAACATCTATTGTAGTAAAACCAGACAAAATGCAACCAGTGTTTGAAAGGTTTCCTATAAATGAGTATAGGGAGTTGCAAAACCAAGCAGATCCTTTTTATGTTGGCTTGTTCACTTGTCTTTACTTTTCTGTCTGTTTTGTGCATATTGTTTTACTGCAAGTGGTTTCAGTATGTGCTTCATAAAGTGTAGACTTTGAAAATTATGTTTTTTACCCCTGCTATGTCTATTCCAAGGAGGAGAGTACTCCATGTTACAACAGATACAGTTAGGTGCTAGTGGTATGCCCTTCCATCCTTTTCATGGAGGTGTAGACTTGCATCAAAACTGCTGGGTGCTTCAGAGTTGATTCTTGGGTGTGTGGAAAGGAAACATTTGAGTAAAAAAGCATCCAATGCCCAGTTCTCCCTTACTTTGATCCAGTGATCAGGTTAAACTTTAGCTGTTTGGTAGGTTTCTTGTTCAATTTTTCTGATTCTTAGTCCTTTTCCCCACTTCCTGACTGCTCTATGAAAGTCAAAAGAGAGAAATTATGTTTTTAGGGGGAAAATTAATTATATCTGTATGATACAAGCAGATGAGAAAACTAAAGAATGTCCCTGTACCTAAGCTCTTTCACCAAATTAATCTTGTTTGTTACTTCAGGGTCTGTAGGGGTAAAGTCAGTGAGAAATGTTCTCGACTGTCACGTGGTTATAGTACATGGCATGTCTTCAGTAAAATGAAATACGATATAACATTACTTGATGCATCAAACAACATTGATTTTCTCTCTCTGTTTTAGGTATCAGTTTTTCTTGCAGGTCAAGCAAGATGTTTTACAGGGCCGTTTGCCTTGTCCAAGCAACACTGCAGCACAGCTGGGAGCATATATAATTCAGTGTAAGTTCTTCTGGCCAGCTGAGAGTTTATTTCTGTTGATCCTGCATTAGGATTAATTTTAAGTGGTGACTGAAGACTTCACTAATACTTCATGCATTCATTTCAAAGCAGAACAAAACTAATATGATTGATTTAATCTAAAGAACTGTAAACAGGTGACTGTACTGAACAGATAATAGGGAAGCAATATAGAAGTTAATGTAAAGAAGAAACTGGAGAGTCATTCTGAAGATTCTGTCAAACACTTTGCCTTGCTGAGGAATATCATGTGTACTTAAGTTTTTGTGACTTACTCTGGATTGCACATAAAGTATGGAAGAACCTTTGTCAAGAGGTCACAGACTGGTGGGCTGTTGGCAGCCTCACCCAACAAAGTCTGTCAAATCAAAGATCCTTTCAAGAATTAGATTATGTTAACATGAATGCACCTGTGCTTGAAGGAAGGATGTGTTTTGACCGGAAGTGAAGAATTTTAATTATGACTGTCATTTATCTGCATTCACCCACCAGTAGTTAGCTTTTCAGAAGCGGATGTTGTGTCCTGCACACTTGATAGAACTAGCAATCAATTAGAAAGGAGTTGTCTGTCCACCAGTTATTCTTTTCACATTACAGCTCAAGCTCTGCATTCACACACAACTGGTAACCAAGAAGCATATGATGAGCCATGCTGGGACCTGTATTTATAATTTTTTCTATGTTAAATTTAGATTTCTCATGAGTGATAAGTATTAAGCAAAGATTATCTGTATTATTAGTGTTCCATGACTGGCTTAACAACACTTAATACAACATAAAAACCAGTCCTCCTTAGATTTCCATTTTAGAATAGCAAGGCAGAATAATTTGTGAATAAAATGGAAGTGGACATTATACAGAATTTCATGGTGTGTTATATGTGTTCCTAAAAAGCTAAAAATTCAGGCAGTTTTTGTACAATTATTTTTTACTTCATTTTCCCATCTAAGAAATGTGGCATGTCATATACTCTGAAAAACTGTTTGCAATACACATTTTGCTCTACTGGCATACATCCCTTCCCTGAAAAAATGCTGCAAATATGAGGTAGGAAGATGCATAATGATGGTAACATCTTAATGGTTTTATTAGAAACGAGAAAAAAATAATAATTTCTTGTTCTTCAGTCATTTTGTAAGGTGGTTAGAATATGGGGAGCTGTTGTTTTGGTATAAAATCGTGTAACTGAGATTCTAATTTCAGATATTCTGTTGGAAAACAATGAAGAAGCTTATATGAGAGAGGAGAATTAAAGCATGGCAAAGGTTACATACAGTGATTTAAAGCTAGTCCTGGAATCAGCAATAATACATTCCCACTGACTATAAAAAGCTTTATCTTTTTATTAAGAGCCTGCAGTTGCTCAAAGTATATAAAAACTCCTGAGAAATGTCTGTGTCAGGCACAGATATTCCAAAACCCAAACTTTTTTCTACACTTCTTTTACATATGCTGCCAAATAATGTATGTCATCAAATCTCAACTTTGCTAGCTTGGACAAAATTATATTCAGTCCTGTAGAAGTGGTACATTTTCTGTCAAAACCTCTAGCTCTGAGCCTTCCATTTCTCTTTTAAAATGACTGAAAACATTTTTTTCTTGGTTTTATGCATGGTCATATGAATAGTTACGTATTGTATTTGGTTTTTTTAATGGACTACACAGTAAATTGACAGTCAGTTGGAAAGAGGTGTTTTGGGACCTGTAAGTGGATGATACAACACTTTTTGGTTAATGTAAAGTGTTGAAAATAGGTGACCTTTCTTTTCTTCTTGTATCCTTTAGCTGAGCTGGGGGACTATGACCCATATAAGCACACTGCAGGTTACGTCTCGGAGTACCGGTTTGTTCCAGACCAGAAGGAAGAACTGGAGGAAGCCATAGAGCGGATACACAAAACTCTGATGTAAGAACTCAGTACTATTGAGAACTTGGCAGGTAACATCAGTTACAGAGATGCTTGGTAGGTGGGGAAGGGAGCAGCTTGTGCTGCAGAGTGGAGGTCTCTAGACCCAATGGAAGAACACAGAGTTCAGTTATGTCCCTCAGAAACAGAAAACATTTTACGTAATTGAAGTTATTCTTTTAGGAACCAATAGGAAGGTTTAGATTAGATATAAGGAAGAAGTTCTTCACGGTGAGGGTGGTGAGGCACTGGAATGGGTTGCCCAAGGAAGTCGTGAATGCTCCAACCCTGGCCGTGTTCAAGGCCTTGGGCGACATGGTTTGGTGCAAGGTGTTCCTGCTTATGGCAAGGGGTTTGGAACAAGATGATCTTAAGGTCCTTTCCAACCCAAACCATTCTATGATTCTGTGATAACTGGAAATGTGATGTATGTCAGACCTATGTATGGGTGTTTCAGAACCAGCAGTTTTAATAGCGCTTCTGTGTTCCTTTAGTTTTGTAGTTAAATAAATGAAAGTCTGCAAGTTCAATTCCCTGTTCTAGGACAGATTTTCTGTTTGGGCATATCGTTTATTATGCCCATGCCTCAGTCTACTGTCTGTAAAATGGGAATAACATTTCTTTGTACTGCCCTTTGTATTAAAATGAACTGTTGGGACAAACCCACTTTTAATTTAATAATTTACAGCACTTTGTACAATGAAGCCTCTATTTTCTTGCCAGATCCTTGGCTGGGGTAATGAAGGAGTGCTTGTAGCAACCTGCATGAATGTTTCTTTGTAGGAGCGGCTCACATTGCAGGAGGTATCAGGAAATCAGTTCGTATGCCCGTGGTTTAAGTGATAATCTTAACTGCAACATCTGTGTGAATTAAAGAGACAGTTTGGTTTTACAAGCATGAAGTCCCTTCATTTTATTAACCAACGTATCTTACATAAAACATAGCGGCAGTGGACAATATAATGGATTTCACTGAAAGGAAGAACATACGATTCCTAAGAAAAAAAGCAACACCTAGAAGGAGTGTCATCAGACAGTACTGAATAACACAAGGCATTCAAAGTGCTGGTTTCTGGACAAAACCCAAACAAATTCCAAAACTTTGCATGTGACTTTAAAGCAGTGGAAACACAGGATATTTGTGGGCCTCAAAGTAATTTTGGTTTAAACTGAGCAAGGCACTATCAAAGTTCACAGGCGTTGAAACTATATCTGATAACATTTCTTATGTATGAGAAGGAGCTCAGAAGGTGGATTAAGCTAGAGTTATGGTACTTGACAGGGGCAGGAGGAAAATTGTGACTTGTCTCTGCACTGCAGACAAGACAGAGGAGGGCTGCAGAGATCTGAAACATGTATGTCAACAGACCTGGGGGATTCCCAACTTAACCTTCTTAAAAGTTTGACAAGGCAGATTCATTTTTGTTATAGAGATTGCAGAACTTCAATTCTCTGTCTTGCAGTTACTGGAATAATTATCACCTTAGACACAGTTGTACTGTCATTGATGTTCTCGATAATCTCTGCCTGATGGTGGATCCCAGTATGCTGCTTTAGGAGTCAGCTCATTTTCTGTCAGGCTGCAGTCTGTGCATACAGTACCTTCCCTTGATTCCTGGGAAGCAAGAAAGCAAAACTGCAGTATGGACAACCACGAAATGGATTGGGGTGCCGAACAGATAAGCAAAGCAAGATAAGAACTAGTAATAACCTTTGGCTGCATTGTTTCCGTCAGTGCTTGACAGATGAACAACAGCAACAACACAGAGAGAAAAACCAGCAATTTCATGGGAACGCTGGAGCAAAGAATGTAATTTCCAGTAAAGGTGGCAGAGCTAGAAAGTGATTCTCTGTGAATATAGGTTAAATAGTAGATGCATTTGCAGCAGCTGTGTAAGTAGTCTTCTTAGAGGAGGTTTACACTGCCCGATTTTGTCCCACTTGCTCATTTTTAGAAGTGGCCTTCTATGTATGGAATACTTTCAGTGAGGTTAGACTTGAAGTACTCCTGGTACAGAGCCTGAACTGACAATTGCTGTGTGAAAGCACTGCAAGTTAGAGAGTTTTGGCTTCCCAACCTGATTAGACTACAGTGCCTTCAAAAATGCAAAATGTGAAATTGGTTTTGAAAAGAAAATGTATGCCAGACATTCAACTGTACACAAAGCGAAATTGAACATTTACTTGCTTATCTCCAAATTCATATTCCTAGTAAGTGTAAAGAAGCTTGTTCTAACAAGTCCAAGTTAGGTGCAGTTGTGGTACAGCCATTCATTAGGATGGGAGCAGTAAAAAACTTCTTACGAGTATGCTCATCATACCCTTTGTTAAAGAAATGTAAAGGTAATCAGAGCTAGCCATCTTGTATGTAGATTGAGATTTCTTGATTCTCTTGCTATAAAGAAGCCATGGTCTAGATAAAGGTTAAGTAATTGCTTGACTGTAGTTTTGCCTGCTAGTGTTATTTGTGCCTTGTTTATGGGAATAGGTATTAACTCAGAGATACAGCTGTTCTGTTTGAAAAGTTACGTAATTGGAGTCTCTGCCAGTTGCCACTTTGACCTGAGCTTTCGCTTTCAGTGAAGAGAGTCTGTTGTTCAATAATTATTTCTATGTAGTTGCCTGACTGGCTTACAGTAATTAATGATGTATAGAGAACCTTACTACAGGTTCTTCTGTGAAGTAGAAAAGTGCTGGTTTTTATGTTCTAGAGATTGGAAATTGAGTAACAGAGAGTTTGTTTGGTTGAACATTAGAGGTGGTTATGTTTCAGAAGTGAAATTTGAGATGAATTGCTATGTACCAGGCCACTGATACTAAGCAACCTTAATCGCTCTCTCGCAAGTTTCTGTAGTCATTAGTGTAGTAAATCAGATTAAGCCCCATTTGTCTCAAGAAGGTTGTAACCTTGGAGAAGCTGGGGGAACAGTGGTTACAAAGAGAAGTCATAACTGTCTTGACACTGTCTTTAGTGGTTTTATAAGCTTATTGATGTAGAGCTCTGAAGCTCCTTTGCTACTTGGCTGCAGTTAGGTGTCAGGGATTTAGCAGCATCAGAAAAGAGAGTGAAAGTAAGGTGTACCCACTGCTAGTTCAGCCTGTCATCATCAGCACTGCCAGCATTGACTTCTGTACAGGAGACAGCGGTCTCTAGCTAAGAGGCTTGAAGCTACAGTGGCTGAGGGCATATCCCAAATTATCTCACTTACCAGAAATATTTTAGGGACAGGTTTGTGATATGGTTTGGGAGAACTACTTTATCCTTTCTGGAGCTCAGCATGGAAGCATGGGGATTTTTGCAGGACAGCTGTGGTCCTGTATGTACCTTGCTTCCAGGTAAACTGGTTTTGGTTGTGGATTCTCTTTCAGTTTTTTTACATGGCACACTAGGTGTTCAGGAATTAATTCAGGATGCATTTTGAGCAATGTTCTAAATCAAGTAAGGTGAGGGAAGTCAGAGTTGGAGTGGGTTTCTGACTGCATCAAGACTCTGCAGACTGCCTATCTATAAACCATCCGTTGTCCTATCTATAAACCAGCATGAGAATCCGAAGGTCAGATAGCAGGATGAGGTGACCTACTGTTGTCAGGCACGTCTGGAGGAGCAAGAAGTGGCTTCCCTGCATGCACATGAGGAAGCAGATACTTGTGGTGCTAGAGGAGGGATATGATCCCTCAGTGCAAATGAGAGAGCTTGTCTTGTCGCTCTGACATTCCCTATTCCAGACTGCAGCAGGCTGGGACTAACTGATACTTGGCAAGTCATGTATTTTGAATCAGTATCACATCCTTAGGGATAGTTAGCTTGAAGAGTAGCTTTCAGTATTGTTTAGGGCCATCAGTGGCAATCAGGTGCTCATTGTACATCTCAGTGAACAGTGCCTGTCAGATGCACGGCTGTTACATTGGCTGCTCTATCATAACCAACTGCAAAGACTGTTTAATTTTGTAGAGTATTGTCAGGTCATATGATGAGGAGGAGAGTTTGTATTTTCATACATGATAAAAATGAAACACCCTTTGTAATGGTCAGAATTTTTTCAGTCCCTGATATTTCTCTCTCCGTTTCATGTTCTTTTTCATTTGTATTTGGGAGGACTTCTTCCTCTAGCTTCCGTCTGCTTCCTTCAGAAGCTCCAGCTCACATCTTTACTTCCTTTAAAATTTTTGCAGATTCCTTACAAATTATGTATGATTGTGAAAATGTATACATGCACACACTTACTTGGCATTTGAGACTTTTGGGATAAGCACATCATCATTCTTTTAGGTATGGTCAGTAGGGAAATGCTAGTAGCAGTATTTAAATTGGTGTTGTATTCTAGCAATAGTTCAGTAATGGCATAATCCACTTTGCTCAGGACTGATGTTTAGCCTGTGTGTGAACTCAGTAAGACAATATTGCTCTAGAGAATGTTTTCTTTACATTTCTGAGACCTACCAACAAGATTTAAAAAAAATAAAAAATTAAGTTGTGGAATAAGTTTTTGTAGCAGTAGTGGGTAAAAGTTATGTCAGATGTGACAATACTGATGTGCTGAATATCCAGTGTTCTGCTTATTCTGAGTACAGAGATGAATCACAGATCTACTGGGAAATCCAGCCCTTGGAAGAAAGAGATTTCTTTTACAAGCTTCAGGTCTGCTGCTTTTCTATAAGTCCTTAGAAAGAAGGGCCAACACCTGAAAGAGTTTCAGTGCTACTATGCTGAACAGGTGGGCTGAAGCAGCCCATCTCCCAAGTAGGCGAGCATTTTAAATACCTATATTGCTGCATTCATGCTAAGCACACTGTTTCAGTCTTTCATGTTAGATACGTTTTTTTACCTTGTCAAGCATAGCACAAAGTTGGGAAAACCTGGAAAGTAGCTGCTAGGCTGAAGACAAAGAGCGAGAATGTGCATACTGCATGACTTTTCCAGGTCTTGTGTCAAAATGTTGAGCTCTGCTTCACACCTTGGATTTGAAAGGTAGCAAATGCAGTGAAGTATTCCCCAAGAGAGCAAGTACAGGGTGAAGCAGGAGATGCATCTTTATGAGTAGACATGTTCACTACGTATGCTGTACTTTCTCAATAACAGTTCAGTAACTTTCACAGAAGTATTAAAAAGGAATGAAGATGAAAAAGTGGCTTCAGATATTTCAGGCTTGAAACAGAGTATTTTGCTTTTATACCAATGGCAGTTATAAAGGAAAGAAAAATTTAAATTCTGAGGAGAAGTCTGTTGATGACTTTGAATTTATTTGGTTGTTTTGTTCTCTGTGAAAGTAAATCCTTCATCGCTGTTGTCAGGTATGTTCCTAATAGCAAGGGGTTTTTCCCCTCAGGTTTTCCCCTGTTGTTTCCAACCAGCGTGCTGCTGATGGTTGTTTTAAACTGGTGAATTGATATTTGCTGATAGGAAGGCAAGCTAGATCTTTGAAACTGGTAGTCTCATGAGACGGACTTCAAACTTTGTTTTCACCCATAGCAGACTTGGTGATTACCAGTTGGTGTGACTTCCTATAGGCAAGATTTTATGAAGAGAGGAATATTTTTTCTGAAGTCATGAACTCTGCTTTCAGAAACTGCTATGGGGAAATAGTACCCCAGTCAGACATTCTATTCCTGCTTTATTAATTATCATATATAGTTTCAGATAAAAAAGTTATTTTGCATATTCAAACCTAAAAATGGAATGTCTGATGTGTGTTTGTGACAGCAGGGAAAAGATTAGCCACTGTAGTAGGCATACGTTGTATATATGATAAGATACATCTTTGATACGATCTTACAGCAGAGAGTTTAGTAGAAAGAAAAATATACAGTTTAGAGAAAACTTGTGCCTACTGTCCAGTCTCACTTGGAGCAACCAGAAGTATAAGCTGAAAGTATCCTTTCAGCACTTGCTGAAAGGACAATGACAGTCTAAACAAATGGAAGGAAGGATTGCATACCTGTCCAGCATACTGTCTCTATTAATGTGATCTATTTTAGTATGTTGACTGGAAGCGCAAAGTTCTTACATGGAATTTTGTGTACAGGGGTCAAGTTCCTGCTATTAGGGGTGGCCAAGTCCCTGGAAATGTATGGAGTGGATCTCCATCCTGTTTATGTAAGTATTTTTTAAATATTTCAGATTTGGTAACAGTGAAAAAAAATTTCTTGTACTAAAGTGGGGGGAGAGTATTTATATAGTTTACTTGCCACAGAATAACTTGAGAGGAAGCACTGTACTTAAGAAATGCCAAGGAATACATGTTTACAGGCTGAGGGGATCCAGTCATTCTACCTACAGAAGCCTGTTGGTTTTCAGATGAAAGGTTGTGATTGTATAACAACTATAAAAGACAATCGGTTGTACTCTGGATAAAAACCAGTTTAGATAAATAATAAGTAATGAGTGCAAGTGTCAGGAGACATGAGAGAGGGTTATAACCTTTGGCTTTGACACAAGAATTTGCACATTTTTCTTGTGTAAGTAACACCAAGTGTGTCCTAAAACCTTTTCAATACCATTGCAAAAACTAGGGTGGGGTAGCAGCAGCGTGTCTGGCTTCTTTTAATACTTACTGTGAAGGTTTTGCTAAAGGTCCAGAGTATATTTCCAGCTTTTTCTCTGCTGTGTTGTGCAGCACTGGAAGTTGTCTGTATTGCCTCAGCAAAACCCTCTACTTCTTTTGTAAAACAGCATGTATGATGGGATAGGATCTAATCCATCACCTGGAGGCTACATGCTCCTGGTGGAAACATCATTTTGTCTTGTTTGAATAATTGTGCTTGTGGCAGGTTTTTTTTGAATAAAAGAAAATCAGTTCAAATGGAGAATTGTAATATAGATAGTTCATTGAATTAAATGTCAGTACTTTGTAAAATTACTTGAAAGAAAATAGAGAAATCAAGATACTAACAGAAGATTGTGTATTTCCTGCTTAAAATTGTGTAGCCCGTAATATGAAGTGTTTTTTAATGCACCGTGTAGCTTAACTGTGTTCATATCCCATTTACCCTTCCCACACAAAGAAAGCTGGGGGAGTGACTGGAACAAGATTCAACATGATCCAACACAATCATGTTAAATTAGCAGAGCCTGGAATTGCTTTTTGCTATGCAGTAAGATCACTGCTGTGGGTAGTAAGGGGATGAGTTGTAATATGCCCAAGTCTAACCCATGAATATTATCGTTTCTGTTAATACTACAACAGCAACAGAACCCCTCATTTGGGACACATGACAAGATGTAATTCTTTTCCTTGCTTGGTCATATTAAAAGTAAAGTTGCTTTTAGCAGTTAGTTCACTGACGAGCACAGGAAGAACTTGCCAGGTGTGCTTGAGCTTTCTCACATCCATAGTCACGCAGAAGGGCACTTTCTACAGTCAGTCTGTCTCACAGTTGATATTCTTTGTGGTTCATGCTCTGCTGGTTTAGAGCTTGCAGCGCTCTTTGTCATTGCCTTATATAGGCAGATGAATGAGCTTTTGCAACTGACTTTCTTCTGAACTCATGCTCTAAGGTTTACATTCTTTCAAGTGTAGGGCTCACCTGATTTTTGTTACTGACCATGAACTGGGGAGACAGGGGCTTTCTGCCACTCGGCACCAGGGTTTTCACCCTGTTCTCTCCTGACATGGTTTACAAGTCGAATACTGATCTCAGGAATGGTTTCCTTTGAAGATGATGCATGCAGCTGTTCTTTGCATGTTGCTACCCATTCTGAACGAAAAAATGCTCTGACTCTCTCAGAGCACTTACTTCACTAGGTAACAGTATGCAGGTGATAATATTTTAGTTTCTGATTTTTGGACATTTGCCAAATATCCCAAAGTAATTCTTTAAAAAAAAAAAAGTTATTTTTGCTTTTCACCATGGCATGTGGAATCTCCCAGTCTTTCCCGCACTGCCGTCTTTCTTGCCTCTTTGCCTCCATGCCTACAAGTTCTCCTGTAGGAGTGTTCGTCAGTAGAGCAAGTACTGTATTCCCATTGCACGCAGAGTGAAACAGTATGTTCAGGTCAGTCACCCACCCCTCTGCTCTGCTCTGGTGAGATTCCCCCTGCAGTCTTTCATTCAGCTCTGGTGCCCCTAACACCAGAGGGTCGCAGAGCTGTTCGAGCGAGTCCAGAGAGGGCCATGGAGAAGCTCCAAGGGCTGGAGCACCTCTGCTCTGGAGACAGGCTGAGGTGGCTGGGCTTGTGCACCCTGCAGAAGAGAAGGCTCAGGGGAGACCTTAGAGCAGTTTCCAGTGCATAAAGGGGGCCAACAAGAAATCTGGAGAGGGAATATTTACAAGGTTGTGTAGTGACAGGACAAGGGGGAATGCCTTTAAACTCGCAGAGGGGAGATTTAGATTAGACATTAGGAAGAAGTTGTCAGGTTGCCCAGGGAAGTTGTGGCTGCCCCATCCCTGGCAGTGTTCAAGGCCAGGTTGGACGGGGCTTTGAGCAACCTGGTCTAGTGAAAGGTGTTCTTGCCTGTGGCAGGGGGTTTGGAACTAGGTGATCTTTAAGGTCCCTTCCAACCCAAACCAGTCTATGATTTTATGGTCTGGCTGACTTCTTATTAGACCTCAGTGCTTCAGTGATACAACTTGTAACTGTATGAGTGACATACATTTTTATCTTCTAGGGTGAAAACAAATCTGAATATTTTTTAGGATTAACACCCATAGGAGTTGTTGTCTACAAGAACAAAAAACAAGTAGGAAAATATTTCTGGTATGTATAATTTAAAAACAATAATGATGTTGTATGGAAATGTATGATTTGTGGTATCAATTTGAAAGGTTAATTGTATCAACAGAAAAAAGTATGCTTGGAATTCGAAATCTTTGTCTGGATTATACGATTTTTTATTTCTTCGATAATCCAAGTATTGAAAAAAATAGTTCACCGTTACCATACTCAGGTTAAAATGTTTGAATACTTCTAATTTTCTGTTGATATCTGGTGCATACCTGGAAAAAGAAAAAAAATTCTACCTGTGAATTCCTTTTTGTCTTTGTTTGTAAATATACACAACTTCATTATGCTTTAAATTAAAAACTCACAAAGTTCTGTCTGTCTTCTTACAGGCCTAGAATTACAAAAGTTCACTTCAAGGAAACACAGTTTGAGCTTAGAGTTCTTGGAAAAGATGTAAGTTTTTATTTAAGACTGAAAGAAAAATACAATTAATCCCAAGGCTGATGATGTGGGGATTTTTGTTTTTTCATCAAAGCCTAATGTATTTTACTAAAATTTACTGCAAGAAACTACCAAAGTGAAATTATTTTTATTGATAGTTACTGCAAGAATATTACCTCATCCTCAAGTATATGTTCCTGATGCTGCTTACAGAAAGGGGAGGAAGAAAGATTTTCTGTTCATGTTATGTAGCAAGCTTAGAGAACTTCAGCAGAACAGTAGGAAGTAGGAATTTTATAACAAACCATTATAGTTTTATATTTTGCTCTGTAAATTAGGCTATTCTGCAGTGTCTTATTTATGATCTTAAATAGTGCTTTTAAACTAGGCTACATCTGTAGGGAATGCTTATCTTAACCAAAACATGGATGGAGGAAAACTTAAAAAGCTGTTAGGCACAACTTGTTTTGTAGTGTGGAAACAAAAGCAGCCACATAATGTAGCTTGAAACTAATTTGTCAGATTTTAACTTCATTGTGCTGTTAGACCATTTGAGAGAAAACAATGTTGGTTCCAGTGGAGCAAGGATAGCCGTTTGAGAGCAAGAGAAGAGATTTTAAGGTAGGGTCAGTGGAAAAAATGAGGAAGATATTTATCACCTACGAAGCATGTGGGGTAGGGGAAGAATAAGGAGGGTGTTGAGGACATGCAGAAAATTGTAAGTATCATAGAACAAAGAATTGCAGTCAGCCTGGGATTTGTGGTATGTGGTTGAGTTATAAATATAGTTTGCTGAGTTGTTTTTTGAAAATACTTCGCAGGTCTCTTTGGGATATCGGGTTTGAAAATTCAAGAAGTATTAACTTCTTCGAAAGCATTCCCGTCTACTGATTATCTATGTATCTTCATTCATCTGTGTAGTAGTTGTTAGTCTCACCCATGATTTTTCCATGAGGCCATTTGGTACATTCAGTCTGTTCTGGGAAATATAAGCATACTCCTGACTGGTTGTCTTGCTTCTGTCTTGGACATTTCTTGTGCCTCTGCAGATGTATTGGCAAGTTTTGCTTTTGTTATTTCCAAGTGGTTTGTTTCTGTTTGGTATGGTAATCTCTGGCAATTTTATTCATTATGGTGTATTTGTTGAAATTGGAGACTTGTTTGAAGGTTGGGTGAACATTGGGAAAACTTTTCTCAATGTTTCGAGTGAAGGGGGAATGCCTGTTCTTGTATAGACAAGTCTAAGTTTGACTTAGAATCAATTGCATTGAAGTGATGCTGCAGTTTCTGTTTGATGCTATGTATGTGTAGTTTTTGTTTGACCCATGTGGAATTGCAAAGGTTTCACATCCTGAACAGAAGCCATGGAAAATGTACTTAAGTTGAGTCTGTGAATGTCGATGGCCGTTGAACGCTTACTATTGTGATCATAAGGCATATGCTTTGACAGCACTTGTTAATTTCAAGTCTCAGCAGGTACTTTTAGGAAATTGTTCAAGAGAACAGTAAACATAAGGGTGTGTACTGTCATTAAAATCTGCTTTGCAACTAATACTCATTTGAAATGTTTCTGCAGTGTTTCATATCCTAACAAGATCAGGACAGGCCAAAATAGCCCAGAAAAATCTTCCTCTCCCCTTTTTTTAAACAAAGTGGTGGCACTTTGAAAAAAATTATGTATTGGCATAAGTAAGCACTAGCCTTAATCCCCAGATTAAAGCTGTCATAACAATTTATGCTGTTCTGCACCCAGAGGAGGAAAAGTTCATCAGTGTATTTACATGACTATATGTTCAAATACTCCTTGAAAACTTAATTTACACATTTCTTCTATTGCTCTGTTGTTGGGGTTTTTATTTATTTATTTAATAAATGCTATCAGTTAGTCCTTCCATGTGGACAAGATGTTGCAGTGTAGAGAGTAAATATGCCAGTTTTATTTCATCCTCCCTCCTAGAATATCACTTTATGGCAAAGGTAATTAATACGTGCCTTGTTTTCACATGCGGTATACCAAGTCTGGAACGTATTAGGTGTTCCCAGTTATTTGGAAAGAATGCTAGCAAAGATCCAAGAAAATAAGAAGTAATGGAGACTTTACCGTGCCTTACACATAGTTTTATGGCATATAGCAGAGGAGTTAACATCATGTAATAAAAAGAGCAGATTATTTCTGAGTATATCGAGTGCATTGTGTGAATCACATTTTCCATATTGTAGTGAAAATGCTGTGCAGGCTGAATTTTTGTTTATGTTTCCACACACTACCTACCTTTATTCACACTGACAGGCACCTTTCACAGATAACACCGGCTCATCAAGAGAAAGCTGTCTGTGCTTTTATTAATGATGAAGTGTTGCTCTTCCCCTGTGTGGGGTGGGGTTACTTATGGTAACTTCTTTGTTGTCCCTTTCAATAAATTTGGCTGAGGGTTTCTTTTTCTTTTTTCAACCTACTGAAAGAATTTTAATGTGTACTTCCAAATAAAGGGATGGAATTGGACATCCTGATCTCCTTGACAGATGGCAGACATGGGAGGCTGAATGTACAGGTCCATGTCCTTAAGCTGCCTAAAAAATACACTGTGGGGTGCCTGTATCAGACGTATTTATGTCAGCTGAGTTTGTTGTTTACATTGTTTAGCTTTTCATAAACTTGATGATTTATTGAGCAGAAGATATTTATGCCCACTGTCTACTAACCAAGTAAGGTACTTCACATTTCCTGTTTTGCAGTGTAATCTCTTGTACTTCATATCTTTTCCATGAGAACATATCCTGTATATTTAACTTCCTGTTTTTCATGTGTACCTGTTGCTGTTGTGTGCAAGCATGACCATCTTTGCCTGTATTACATGTTTTATCTTTCACTACTTTGCTTGTATTATATGTTTTCCCCCTAAGGCTTTTGCTGTTCCCCCTCACAAACAAAATAGTACCCTTGGTATATGGCCATCTGCGAATTATCCCAGTATGTGAGACTAATGACCTGGACCAGCTGGCAGAAACTCTTTTTCAGTGGTGTTAATCATTGAATTGGTATTTCACTGTCCCTGGAGTAGTCTCATGGTGTGAATTCAGTTCTACAAAAACGTTAGGCTTTTCATGAAACCTCTTAAGGATCAGCACAAAATTAAGAACTCTTCCTCTGTGAGAACTGCACAGAAGGATTCCCTGAGCACAACAAACAATTGCGAAGAATTTTTGAAGATGAGGAAAGTGTATTTCTGTGCGGTTTCCTGTAAGAAAACAGAGAGATCCATCTGATGCCTGTGTACAGTTCGTAGTAGCAGGCAATAATCCAGCAGTACAGATGGCTGCCAAAGTCCCTGCCACCCCACAGCAAAATGCAGCATAGTCACAGTGGATGCATGATGTGGACATGGGTAATTGTAATCAGAGGGGTGCACAGCACACCTCCTGTGCTTTCCCTATCTGAGGAACAAGGATTGCTTCCTAGACTTCTCTCTCAACTGAGGACATGAAACAAAGCAAGAGAAAAATGTACTTTGATAGATTGTGTAGGTTGGGAACGTAAATGTAATAATATGCAGGAGAGAATGTCGGGCTTTTTTGCCTGTAGGTACCAAGTAGTTCTGTGCTCTTCCCTGCAACTCCATACTGTTTTTTGTAACAGTGCTGTTTACTTTGCTTGCACTGTGTCTGAACATGAAAGTGAATGATTTCACTCCTTCTCAAAGTTTATGCAAAGCCTCTGTACTTTTCATCTTTCTCTTTCACCAAGCCACGAAGTGGTGAATGTGCAAAACACTTGCTTTTGTTATCTTTATGTTATAAGAGAAGGGTCATTTGGAAGTGTGAAATTTTTGGTTTGAGGGATTTTGAAATTTGGGTTCTTTCAAGTCAGAGCAAACCCCCCAAACTGTGCACTCAAGAATGATTTACACATTTTCAGGACATTCCTTCCTCAGTAGTCTTGCTTAGTCAGATGAAGAGGCCCAGTTCAGCTGAATTCAGAAGGAGAAGTTACTAAAGACTGTTTTCAGGAGCAGTACCAACCAGTGATGCATGGTAGAGGAATTTCAGGGCAATTCCAAAGCACATAATGCTCACCATTCTGGTACCTGAAACTTGTGTTATTTTAAATAGTCTCAGGAAACCCTGTAAATATGCTTTATTTTTTTAATTTGCTTTTTGTGTCAGAAGTATGAAAAGTAATTATATTAATAGGGTGGTTCAGCTGTACCCCTTCTTGTTCTGTCACACACTATATTGCATCTTGAATTACAAGTTCTAGGCAGGAATTTTTTATTTGATTTTTTCCTCTCATAGTTTATAGGAAAGATTGAACAGGGTTTCAAGAGATGTTCTTCCCATTCTAAAGTGCAATTTAACTTAGATTTCAGTTCCAGGAAATAACAGCATTTTGATCTTTATTACAGTTTAAGAATTACAAGTTCTGTGTGATTTGCATTTGCATCCACTTCAGCCAGAGTGGTAGTGGAGGGTGGAGGTGAGCAAGCACTGTTAATACATCTTATAAAATGGTTTGGGCTTGTTTGGGTTAGTTGAGGGGTTTTTTGGCTTTTCTTAACCACTTCCTGAGCCATCTTAGAAGGCTAGTAAGACTGGTTCAAGGCTTGAGAGCAAAATCATCAGTAATGAATAGTTTTGAAGGAGAACTAAGATTAAAATGCCTGCATAAACTTAAATCCATTGCCACTAAGGTGTTACTGTCAGGTTTGGGTTTGTTTTGGTAAGTTCTTCATTACGTTTTAATTGGTATAATATGAGGGTGAGATATGTTGGTTCAATATGCTTTATGCAGACTGTTACAGCATTATTACTTTTAATTCCTGACTTTTGTAATGTTCTTAAAGATTGACCTGGTATAACCAGTAATAATACATAGTTTGTTACATAAGCTATCACTGGTATGCATTATGTAAATATATAAAGACAGAATTTTTCCTGTTAGGGTTAACAATTGGTAGTATCCAGGTTATGTGCCAAATCCAGCAAAGAATAATGTTGGGAAGCAGTAGCTTCAGAGCTAGTGTTAATACTTCTGTTACATGTATGTGCACGTGTATTACATGTACATTCAGAGTACTCTGTAGTGGGGCAAGGTCCCTCCTTATGCTGTGTTAATATTCAGTGCGACTAGGAAGAGTGGCATGCGGGCTGCAAGATTAAAATAGGTCTGGGTTTTTCTTCTTCTTTTTCTGAGCCTGGACTGGTTGGAACAAAAATTTGTCTTATCATAAATTATAGCAGGTCAAGCCTGCCCTAATCACAGGTTTTCAGAATGTTTTTGATCTGTGGACTTGTGCAGTGTTCCACAGAAGAGGTGTAAGTCTAGTGTCAGTGTCCCTCTTATCTTTGGAGTAATCCATGAACTTCACGCACAAGGGATCTTCTGGCCTGCAGTGGGAAGAACTTTCAAGTGTGTGGCTGGTCTTCCAGGCACACTGGAGCTTGCCCTGCCTGGGCACTGAGCTAGCTGTGTGCAGAGCAGCTCTGATCTTGAGAGGTGTGTAGACATGCTGGCGTGGCAGAGCAAGCTGTAAGTTGTTTGCAAAATGCAGCGTGGGCACTCCTGAACTGGTATGTCAGCTCTAGCAGTTCCACAGGCATTTTGTGGTTAGGTAGAGCAATGACCTCTCTGACTTGTCTCCTTCGAAGGCATTAGGAACATGCTTTCAATCTTTCAGTTAAATGTTGGGGGGGGGCATTATGGTGGAGCACTCTACTAGTTACCAACTCTTAATGGAGATCTCAAAGGCCCTGCCAGATGAGTCTTCTTGCTGTTTTGAGAGGCAGCATGGGCTGTGGCTATATGTTTGGGTGACTGTCAATTTCTAAACTCATATTATAGTCAAGATATCTGCATCCCTTCTGCCAGTCTGTCTCTTCCTGTTGGTAAAAATGGTGGTGAGGCTGTGGGAGTATGAGCTTTATCTTGTTTTCAAGAATGCAGGACAAGCCTTTAAAGCATTTTAAAGGAGAGGCGTATTTTATGTTTGTCCTCACAGGTTTTTGGTGTCTTGCCTTTTTCAGGATTAGGAAAAGGTAGTGAAACAGCTCAACAACTAGGTACTGCAGCAAGGTTTATGCCTGTCCTTTTGCAGCCTCTGGCCATGTTTTCCTGCTCTCTCCTTTGCTGATTCTAGTCACAGATGTGATCAAAAATCACTGTACAAAACTAAGTATTTTTCTGCTTGTTTGGTGAGCACAACTGTCTTCTTGAAAGAATAGACAATCACCAAAGCTGGTTCCATGGCAAGGATAGATCTTCAGTGTGCAGATGATCTGGTTCACAGTGCCTCGTCGCCTTTAGTACGCTGAACACTTTGAAAGCAGCAGGATTACTAGGCAGGAGTAGCTTGTGAGGCACCAAACAACACTGAATGAGTTTGGAACTGTCATTTCCTATAAATCATTAGTAAAAGTACAACAGATCCTTGTGGTTTTGGTTCAGATGTATGAGAATAATAAGAAAATAATAAAGTGACTCTTACTGTCTGTAAGAAATTACAATTGTTCAAGATGCTAAAAATGTTGCCTTTTATTGGAAACAAGTGCCATGGTGTTAACAGTTAAGGTCATCATTGCTCTACATGTACAAATCAATTTATTCCCTTAGGGAAGAAATGCTGTACCTGAAAGATATTATTACCTTCAGTACTGCTTAATTTATATATATGCATTTATAAGTCGTAAGGGTAATCACAGTGCTCTTGCAAGCCTTAGTCTTAAAAAGTAAATGGCAGCAGTCCTAAACCTAGATGTACTGTGTGCAGTGTCATACTGGAGTTAATTGCAGTAAGTTACTGAATTCTTGACAAAAGAAGTGAAAAATGGTAGAAGAATTATGAATTGTCTTCTTTGTTGCTGAAAGGCCTTGGAGATGAATGTTCTAGGCTTTTTTTCTCTCTCTTTAGTAAAATTTAACTGTGCTATTTGAATTATTCCAAGCATCCATTCTGAGGCAGTAGTTTTCAGACATGCTTTTCCTTCAGATTCAAATAAATAAACCTCAGTGTGTTATCAAAAAGCTTGTTGGTCCATACCCTGATTTTTCTGCAGTTGTTTTATTTTCCAGATAGGAATACCATAACTTGTTGATAAAATGGATCTATAGGGCTATGCTGTTTTTTCCTGAGTGCCTTTGATTGCTGCATACCAAGTATAGATGTTTTAGCACATTCATTAAAAATCTTTCGTTAACTGGCTGAGATGATCTTTCTTCCACCTTAGAAAATAATGCCTTCGAATGATGGAATCAGTAATGTTTACTGGTCAGATCTTTCAAGCATATGGCAGTGTCCATATGCTGTCCCTCTTTTAGTCACTTACTGATTTTCATGTGTTACGTGTTATTTATTCTGTATATGGGAAAGTTCTAAAACTTTTGCTTAAAAAAGAAGGAAACATGGACAAGCATTACCTTTTCCCTGCTGGAAATATTACCCTGAATTCCAGTGGCATTTGAACTGGGCTAATAAGATACAACAGAAATGCCTTATTTAAAAAGTCTCTTAAAAAAGCCTCCAAACACCCATGGCTTCTCTCTGCTCCTCCATTCCCCCATCCCACAAACTCTGTCCTCCAGTGTTATGTAATTAAATAAATTTAAGTGCCGCAAAGGATTCTTAAAAATAAAAGTAAAATTCAGGAGTGGACAAAGAAGGAGCAAGATTCTGCATATTAAAAGTGAGTCATTGAGTTCTTTCCTGACTAAAGTTAAACTGACTCATCATATTGCATGAAGTTTGCACTATCACAGGCCTGATCTGATACTATTCTTTAAAAGTGCACTGGTGACTACAATTGTGTGGGTTTTTATGAAATCATGTCAGATGACAGTGATCTAGAAACTGTAATGTAAATTAAATCATAACATACAAAGCTACATTTCTGTTATGTGTAAAATAAGGCAATGAAAAGTACCCCTTGAAATGTCTGCTTTAAAACTTTAAAAATGCAGTATGGTCTTTCAGTGGGTAAACTCTTGCTTCTGGTTGCCAGAGGAGCCAGAGCAATATGGTTAGTCAGGAAAATTCTAGTATAAATAGATTTTTTTCCTCCTTGACAGTTTTCAAGATTCTCTAGGAATCTTCTTCCACCCCCCCCAGTTACTCTGATCTTTTTTCTGTTTTAGAAGAACTTTAGTTTTTAGGTTTCTGGTTTTACTTTTTATAAATTAAACTTAGTTTTGCTTCAAGTTAAATTCCTTTTGAATCCTGCAGAGAGATAAAGATCCCAATCAAGCCTGAAATTGTATTTTAAGGAACTATAGGAATATATTTATAGGACTATATAGGACTATATATTTATATTTATAAAATATTTATAGGAGTAACGACTTTTTTCCTTGGCTGTTTCATGGGACTGATCCAGACAGCCATTTAAACTAAATAAAATAATCCATGGGAGAAAATAAGAATATGTCTGTGTCTCCAGTTTGTTTTGTATGGTGGTGGGTTTGTTTTGGTTTTTTTTTTTTTTTTTTTTTTTTTTT